ACGAAATGGAAATTAGAAATGACGGCGCCTATACTTCTATGGTTTCCCTACAAAAAAAGTAGCTGGCGAAGCACCGCTTTGAATGTACCCTTTTCGTGATAACCAGATTTTTATGCTGCGCGTTTTCAAGAACTTTTCCACTGGGTTCAAACGAGGATACGGTACCTATTTACCCCTGAGCTAAATTTCGCAAGATTTGTAATGTTGAGGTAATAGTATTTAGGGGAAGTAAACAAATGGTTACGAAAGCACTCGGAAATGGCAATATTATACTGCAGCAGAGAGAGCCTCTAGCCTAACTATAACTTAATCATAAGAAGTCTTTGAAGGGTGTACAGTGATTCACTTTGTCGGGGCCATATGTACGGATGCAATCGAAGAATCAGAATCAGCTTCGCTACGATTGGTTTGGTTGAGTTCAATTTAGTCTTTCAAAGGAGTCTTCCTTTTGTTAAGGCGTGATGGCGCTTCATTTCTGGCATTATTACACTTCTCTAATCTTTTTATTTGGTACGTGCATATTAGACAAATTTTTACGCTCTGATTTCCAAGTTTATTAGTGATTTTGTGCTTGTTTGTAACTTCTTTTCTTCAAGATTGTGTGTTTAGTGAATACAGCAGCTGTAATGCGTAGAGTGGAGAGCAAGTGCTCGGTGATCTCATTATTTTTTTTTTCGAAGTTTATAAAGGTCGTGAAAACATCAGCGACTATACATTTCCAACTGACAATTATTAACCCAGCTTGCATTATCAAGTTTACTCAACGTAGAGTGTTTGTTGGAGCCGTAGCTGTTCGTCATTCATCTAGTAGAGTTGATTCCTAATCGCACAAAAAATCATACGGTATTCAGGAAACTAGTGAGTACTGTTAGCGTCGGAACCATCAGTTATTTACAGTAATATGTCCGGATGAAAAGAAACCCTTAGAGAGTATATGAGGGAATAGTAGAAAATGCACCCCACTCGATTAAAAAAGCTTTTTGGATTGTCACAGCACCAACAAGATATATTATTATTTTATCTAATTCTTTGAGACAGACGGACAACGAATAGTAGATAAAGGGTCGATAACTAGAAGAATCTCAGAAAACAAAGCTATAGGGATAAATCCTGCAAATTAAAAATAAGACACTATTTTATTTCAAAAACTTAATTCGACGTATTCGTATCCGCGATTTATCAAAAAAATGAAGTTTTTACAGAGGACCCTTGTCAACTGGTGAAGGAAAAGAGTGAAGTTTTAAAAACTGTGTGGACTTCCAGGTAACCACTATCAAAGAAGGAAGTAAATGATCATTCAAAAAACTTGTGTAATATAAAACCCCAAAACTGCTCGAAAAGAAAGGGTCCTAAGACTCAGATCGTAATGAAGATAATGCGCGCATTTCGCTTCGATAAAAGTGCAACGCTTTAACGCCAGTAAACTCCTTTTCTATCATTTGTTGATCATTTGACAAATGAACTCTGCAAATGTAAAATGGTGAGTGTGGTTTACAGATTTCACTTCCGTTCTCAATAAGAACCGCAATTTATATTTCCTGCATGACATATTCATCAAAGGCTGTTTAACAGGAGGTATACAAAACGACCGAAGC